AACCTTCAGATTTATTTCCCTTTAAAAACATATTAAAACTTGATGGTAAATATTTTGTCAGGGTGCCAATAAACGTGAAGGAAAGGCTTTCCCTTCCCTTTTTACACTGTTGACAATAAAGCCTTAGTACCTTGAAAACAGTTATTAAAAAAAACACTCTCAGCTGACACTAAAAAATATGCAGTGTAGGGGTCATAATTTAGGTGACTACGGGTGGAGAGAGATGGCTTAAAAAGTTCCCAGCAAATTATAATTTCATGAAAATATACTCTCCCATTCCCAGTTCATCCCTACAGTATTTACTTCTAGGAACTTTGGTCGATGACTGCAAGCAATATGTTTCAAACAACTTACGTTACGATCTCTGAAAGTCAGTCTGAGAATCACATCAGAAGATGTTGCCAGTCTGGCTAAAGAGCACTGGGCAAGGTGGACCAATGGTCTGATTTAATTTGAATACAAACTGTCTACCGATGATAAGTATGCAGCCCTGCTTCTTCATGTTTGTCATGAGGTTATTATTCCCCAAAATTCTAACAATGCTTGAACAAAGGCCATGGCCTATGTCCCAGAATTTATCAGAAGGGGATTCTCGACCTAACTTTAGATAAAGATTGTCTCTGGTTTCATTTATACATTATCCCTCCAGTGCTGCAAAACAATTCACTCAGTAAGCTATAATACTTTTATGGAATAATGGATGGTCTGTTCCTTAGTAGATATTCATGGTTTACTATTGTTCAGATGTGGCAGGATTTTAAAAACAATGATCGTCTTCTTCAGAAAATGGATGTATTCACGGGTAAAACAAAAATATTTTTCAATGTTATAGTCTGTTATACAGTTCACATATTATAATGTGGCATAATGAAAGCTGTTCGATAATAGCCCAAGGCATCCCAATGACAGGGAAAATATACATGCTCTCATCTGGAAAAGCTAAGGGGGACTTAAAAGTGTTGTGGTGATCATTAAGCTGTTAAGGGAATCACACAATTGTTAAGTGAATCATGCGGTCATTAAGTTAAATTACATGGAAACCAGAAAAATGTATTGCAAATCATGTTCATGTGACATGGGATGCTGTAACTAGTTGCAAAGTTGAGTCAATTGCCAAGCACCCAAAATGCAGTCATGTGACCTGCAGGGTGTGTGTCTGTGTCTCTGTGTGTGTGTGTGTGTGTGTGTGTGTACATTTTAGGATGGCCAGAAGTGTTTTAGAGTCCATACGAGCTATTAAAAGACCAAACAGTTATAAAATGACCAGTCATAATTTGAGACTACCTGTACCATTTTAGTCCATGTGCTATTAGTAGAGAAGTTCCAATCTGATTATTTTTATTTAAAAAGCAATGTAGGAAATTTCATGACCTACATATCCATTTACATTTTATATCACATAGGCAATGTATATACAGCTTCTCTAATTTATGTAATTGTTAATGTAAATTGCCCAAAAGAAACCCCTTCTTTCAAATACGGATATGTCCTGTTTTTATTATTTGACATAAACATTTCTCTGATATAAGCTTTTAAATATATATAGATAGTCCTTGAGCTATCACTGTAATTGAGCCTGCCTATTACGACTGCATGTCATCATGGCAAATTAGCAAAATGGCCTGACTTAATGACTCTGCCCCCTGCTCTCCCTGAGGCAGCTGTTAAACTCTGCCTGATTGGCCCATGCTATATTCCTCCTGATCTCCCTATGGTAGACACATGCTTGCAGGAACACAGTAGTGTGGAATCAGTGGTGGATGAGCACTGCAGCATTCCTGTGGATGGACTTATGGGCGAATGACTGCAGGGGTACTGCAGCCATCATAACTTTGAAATTGGGCTGTAAGTAGTTTGGGGGGAGTCTGTCGTAACCTCGAACAGTCACTAACAGTATATGTTCTGAATCAAAATTAAAGTAATTACAATCAATGACCATAGCATTTACCACGTATCTACTTATCACATTACTTTTTGTTATCCCATGCCAAGGCTATTTATCGTATTTGAAACCCAATGTTCAGCATGCAAGAGATAGAGGTTAACTAACTGGGGAGATCATTAATTCAATTTAATTACAACAGTTGTCATGTCCCTAAAATAATGCTTACAGTTTTGGACTCAAAACAGTAAGCTGTATTAAAACCATAAAATAGTCCAGCAAAGAATGTTCAGGTGAGTGTCTTCCTTTACAAGTCTTTCTTTATAAGACTGGATCTCAATTGTCACTGAGCAAGGAGAAAAGAATGTTTCTGTATTTAAGTTAGGTAAAAATTTCACATAGTGGTTATGTATAAATCTTTTCACTGGCAAAATATAAAGATTGGCAGGAAATGTTTATTTCAATATTCCTATTTTTCCTATGCAAATATGAATGTAGTTACATACATACAGTATTTAGGCAATTTATGGAAGTGTGGCACAACTTTAATGCTCCCTGATTAAATGGTATTAGGTAATAGCTGTATAGCAGGAAAAAATTCAATTCATTAACTTCCTTTAAGAAACAGCTTCTTCCTATAACCTAAATAATTATTAAAGCCTTATATATCATGCTTCATTCTGGTGATTAAAAGATTAACGTCAGACTGAATTTTAGAAATATATTCTTGAGCTACCGAAACATTTTAAAAACTATTGTCGTCAAGCAATATTCAATACTGAAACAAGAAGTCAAAAATTATTAAACATTAACCACAAAATAAATACAGTATGAAAATAAAACTTCAGGAGATACTTAAGCAATACAAAATGGATAAGGAAATGTTTTATCAGTCCTATTGTACAACAGTGTCTCAAAGCTGCCCTTACAAAGGTTTTGGAAACTTGAACAAAAATCCTTCTAACAGGACAATGTAGGTGCTTACTTGTTTGATAAGGTTTTGGCTGCACTTCAAAGAACATACTCATTAGAATAAGTTCCACTTAGTATGAGAGAATTTAGCCCTAGGTAAAAATACACAGGTGACTCTTGTGCATATATTTTTGTTGTTACTATGTAGTAGTTATGTGGAGAAAGATAACAAAAAAGTATAATATTCTCACATCATATAAACACATAGCTTACAATTCTAACAATTCACCTTGACAATATTGGAACATGGTTATATAATTTTTCAGAGGGCAAATATTTGTTCTGGACCAGAATCAAAGTAATTACAGCAAGAGCAGCGGCGGTGCAGTTGTTAGAATGCAATACTATAGACTACTTCTGCTGACTATCGGCTGCCTGTAATTTGGCAGTTCGAATCTCACCAGGCTCAGAGTTGATTCAGGCTTCCATCCTTCCAAGGTTGGTAAAATGAGAACCCAGATTGTTGGGGGCAATATGCTGACTCTGTAAACCATGTAGAGAAGGCTATGAAACACTGTGAAGCAGTATATAAGTGCTATTACTATTGCTACAGACACTGTGTCAGACCTGAAGTCATACTGGAGCATCTTCGGGGCTGCCACAGAGAGGCTGGTTGGAACTGTAGAAAAGGGAGTGGGGCATAGAGATAGCTGGGGACTTGTAGTCAAAATAAACCAAGGACATTCCCATCAGGTGCTGGAGGAGCGTGGACTGAAGCCAAGTAGAGTTGGGATAGTGACCTGATTGGACCATGTGACAGATGTGGGGACTGGGGGAAAGAATTTTTTTTTGGGGGGGGGGGAGTTGATTTGGGGGGAGAAAACCTCAGGTCTTTCAGAGTCAGATGTTCACCAGCTGTGCCAATATGACATGCCTAATAAATTTGTGCTTTGAGGAAACCCCAGGCCTCAGAGTTTTGATTGAATTGGGTCTGTTACTTGGACTCTGACACACTGACCATAGCATTTACTATTTATACTTCGAAACTAGGAATTGGATGGAATACATGCCTATGGTTTCCTGGTCTTTCTTAAGACCATGTCTATACTGAGCTCACATGTGATCAAAGCAAGTCTTACAACTGATTCCTCAAACTCAGAACAAAGTTTATAGGGCAGGAGTAAGTGGGACAGACTATGACTGGGAGGCTGCAGACTTGAATGCAGATTCAAGTCATAAGGCTTCTGATCCTCCTCTTATTTAAATCTTCTCATTGAACTGAAATTTGAACTATACAGAAATTCATTAAATGAAAACTTGAAGGGAACTAAATGACAGTACTTCTCAACTCACAACCACAATTGTTTCTAAAATTTCAATTGCTAAGTAAAACAATTGTTAAGTGAATTTTGCCCCATTTTATGACTTTTCTTGCCATACTTGTTAAGTGAATTGTTCCAGTTAAGTTAATAACACAGTTTCTGGCTTCTCCATTGACTATGCTTATTAGAAGGTTGCAAAGAGTGATCACATGACCCTGGGACACTGCAATTGACATAAACACAAAGTATCCAAATTTTGATCACCTGACGATGAGAGTTCTGCAATGGTGGTAAGTGTGAAAAATGATCATAAGTCACTTTTTTCAGTGCTGTTGGAACTTCGAACAATCACTAAACAAAAGGTTGTAAGTCAAGTTTGTAAGTTTATTATTACACCTGTATAATAAAAAACCTTTATGCCAAACATGGGGAATGGGAATGGTCTGATGTTCATATTGTAAGATTGATTTACAAGATTTATCTTGACAAGTGTGATATCAAATACTACATCTGTGTAACTTATGAACATATATTTATGGACTGATGTATCATCACTATAAGTGTGCCATGTCAATTCAAAACTCAAGCCAGCTAAGTCTATACACGAGTGAACAAAAAATCAGAATTTTGTTTCAAATATTTTAAAGAAATATCTGTAGTAAAAGCATAGCATTTCTCATAGTTTAAATATATATATAATTTTAATGAAATGATAATAATATCATTTCATTAATAAACAAAAAAAACTTACTTTAGCTTTAACATGCAACCCAACTCTTTATTTGGAAATAAATGCATACTGCATTATTTTGGGTTTAGGTCCAAATAGATGTAACAAGATTGTCTTCACTGTAGATTTTCTTGTACTAACAAGAAGGACTTACCTGTGGGCAGGTAAATGGTGACATTGTTGCAGAAATCTGTGAAGCAGCATTCTGTCCTGGTTACATTCTTAGAACTGTGGCAGAAGATCTGTGCCTTCAGCTGCGGTAGGGAAACACATGCCTTTATTACTTCTTGCCGACCATTCGTTAGCATGACAGAAGTCCAACATGCTCCCTCTGTTTCACAAGTGAAGTTTGTTTTGTCACACAATTGGCACACACATGTTAAGCCTGAAATGATAATTAAGTCTTTGGTACACAACAATGCCAAACAATACACAGAATATTCCCAACCTAGTCCATATTACTTGAGGCTACATGGCACTTGGAGAGATTTGTCTGAAAAAGGAAGAGCAGGCTGAAATCATTCAGATTTTTAAACAGATCTAATAAACAGGTAGTCCTCAACTTATAACAATTCATTTAGTGACCGTTCAAAGTTATAGGCACTGAAAAAACAGACTTATAACTGTTTTTCATACCGTTTTATGACCTTTGCAACATCCCTATGATCATGTGATCAAAATTCAAATATTTGACAACTGATTCATATTTATGATTGTTGCTATGTCCCAAGGTTATGTGATCACCTTTTGTGACCTTCTCAATGACCAAATTCAATGGGAAGCCAGATTCACTTAAAAACCAGGTTATTTATCAACTGCAGTGATTCACTTAACAATTGAGGCAAGAAAGGTCGTAAAATGGTTCAAAACTCACTTAATAAAATGTCTTAGTTAACAACAGAAATTATGGTCATAAGTCAAGAACTACGTATATTTTAAATAACATGTTTTTATACAGTGCCTTTGAGGGAGATTTATCCTACCACCAAAAATCCTAAATTAAAGCCATGAATCCAAAGCAAGATTTCATCTAGGCCATGGGTATCCTACTTTTAGCTTGCCTGGTCCACTTTGAGCAAAGGGGAACTGTCTTGGGTCTCACATAAAATATATACTACAGTTAACATATATAAATCACATAATAATGTTAAAAGTTTACAATCTTTTTTTTTGTCCTTCAAAAGTTTTTTTTTAATCTCTCAACACCCACTCTTTCATCAAACCAAACAGCAAGCAGCAAAATACAATTTCAAATCGTATATTTGATTTTCTTCTCTTTCCGTTCATCTTGTAACATCTTACAGTTAACTTGTGGTTTCTTCCCCTAGCACACAAATTTACGTATATCTTTCAGCCATTATTTAAATGGTATACGAGTTATCAAAACAGGTATTGAAATAAAAACAACATTCTAGGCAAAGCATTCATTTTTATCACAGATATTTTTCCCAGCAATGCCAGTAGTAGTTTCTCCCATTTTAGTAAGCCTTCTTTAAACTTCAAGGGCTGGACATGCCTGATTTAAACCAAAAGATGGAAATGATGAGGAAAGCTACATTGATTTTAAAAGACAATATACAATTAAGCAATCATCAGTCTCTCAAAGTGTTTGAAAGCTCCATCTACATCAGATCTGCTTCCAATGCTCTGGTTTGTTCTCATACAAAAGACTTTGGGGAGCTGGTGGAATCCAAACCATGTATTATTATAAAATTTTATTAGGCAATTATGGCAATAAGCCTCCATACACATATTCAAATCAGCACTGAAGATCCTATCCATAGTCTTAGCATGGGGAATGGAAGGAATTTTAATCCCTTACCCCAAAGGTGCTTTTCAAAAAACAACTGGACTTTCTTGGATTTTTCCTTGAAAATGTTTCTCTAGTTCTGAAGAAGTTTCTTGGATGAGAATTGAAGCAAACATTTTCTTGGGGGGAAAAGATCAAGAAAACCCTTTGAAAAAAGCCTTTGAACAACATCTTTGGGATAACTATGACCTGGGAATCTCCATAGACCTTTAATCCTGTTGAAATTTCCCAGTCTTGATCTCAACAATCATTGTTGAGAAAATGATCTATGTCTATACATTGCAGACAGATCAGTCTGGTGTGCCTACACTTATTCTACAGTAACACAAGTAGGATGGTCTGTGTTTTTTATGTTTTTTGTTTTGTGAGCCACCTAGAATCAAAAGGTTTAGAAATAACCTTAGAAATAACTCACCCAACTTGTCTTATTTGTTCATTGAACATTTATACACTATCTAATTCCATATTTGTGGCTGGTTAACCTTACGAAAACTCCCATTATTGAATGATATATGTTGAGAAACTTCCTAATATTTGCACTGGTATATTATACAGAATTTTTTACAAATGCAGAAATAAAAAAGGAAAAAAGAAAAGGAAGAAAAAAAGCACAAGAAAGAAAAAAAGAGGCAAGGGGCAGAAGTGATGTGTGAACATTTCTCTGTATTTCTGCCAAATTGCTAGAATTACATTTTGCATTATGTATTATTTGTATTATGACACAGAATACATCTCTTACATTTTACCAAACACAATCATTCCTGCATAGGCACATATCTGAAGATACTACTTCTGCCTGCTCAAAATGTTATTTATTTTTGTCAGCAAACAGATTCAAAAGTGCTTTTAATTGAACTATTTCAAGCTCAGTCATTTTCAATATATTGCCAATTGTTGTAGGTGCTCTTTTATATTTAAATCATTTTAAAGCATAGACCAATTTTTCCTAAGAGCATATAATTTTCCACAGTTATTTAGTACCACAAAGTTGAGATATTTCTTGTGTCAAAAGCTTTCTGAAACTATTACTTATGCAGTGCTACAGAAATAACTCTTTTTTCAGTTAGTCACAATTAATTAATAAAATTACTTATAGTTTTTTAACAGCAAGAGAAAGCTTTAGAACACGAGGGCATTGCATTTATCAAAAATAGGACTGACCACAAATTGCACCAATGCCCAGTGCTTCTTTCCAGAATTCCCATTAAATATCATGTCCTTTGCTGATACTTTAAAAATATGTTGGGAAATGACTTTCATAAACATCTTAATGTACAATCTTTGGATTGTAGTCATGGAAGTCATAATTTTGCTCCAAGCATTAATGAGGAAGTAGCTTGGGGCACAACACAATTCAGATCCTACAAGTTATTTGTTGCTACAAAGCCAAGGTCTATCTGACTTAAAATACCATAAGTTTCTATGTTTTTCTGATGATTAAATTTCTTAATTATCTTCATTCTGGTTTTATTAGGAAGCAACAGACTTGATGGAAATATCTAATTCAATACCTAAGTACAATGCTATCTGATGCAAATTTTAGAACTCTTTTTGTTTTCTAGCCCAGAGCTGCTGCTGCTTCTTCTTCTTCTTCTTCTTCTTCTTCTTCTTCTTCTTCTTCTTCTCCTCCTCCTCCTCCTCCTCCTCCTCCTCCTCCTCCTCCTCCTCCTCCTTCTTCTTCTTCTTCTTCTTCTTCTTTTTTTTTGTCCTCCTCCTTCGCCTCCTCCTTCGCCTCCTCCTCCTCCTCCTCCTCCTTCGCCTCCTCCTCCTCCTCCTCCTCCTGCAGAAATTCCCCAAGTTGTAGAAAAGCCTAATTCTTGGTAGCCTGACAAAACCATGACTCCCTGAAAAATACAGCATTAAATGACTATTGCTCTTTTCCAGGCATTGTTAACTTACTTTCTGTCTTCTTTCAATGACTTGTGATTACTCCTTTTATGCTGTGTGGTTTCCCTCTCCATGCCATTTAAAACCTCCTCCCACTCTTCAGTAGCCATCTCCTATCTCCTTCTCAAGTAGATTACAGCTACAAATCAACTTCTGCTTTTCTCTCCTGCCTATTACACACTTCCCCATTGTCTTCTGAGGTTCTAATCTGTTAGCATCTTTCAGGAATGAGAGGACTGCAAAACAGTTTGGGTGCTTTGTAGCTCAGAAATTGTGCATGAATTGTCTAAGAGCCACTGGTGATCCTCAAGCTGCAGTTTGGTCACCCTACTTCATATAAATAAAATCACAATGCTTTAGTAGGACTAGAGAATATTACAATAGTTGTGTACTTTGCACTGAAAAGAAAACTAGACTTATCAACTGTGCTAAGCCACGTGGTATAAAGAATATGAGTTATCCATTATATGTTTGGGATAGTAAAACATTATATGAAATCACTTCTGCCAATAGGTTTAATGTGATGCACAAACTCTGACCCTGCCTTTGACCAGGTCACAGAACTGCAATGCAGGAACAGCTAAGAGAGAAAGCAAGCCAACAATTGGTCACCTCAAGGACTTTTCTCATCTGCAGGACTGAATTGGTGCCCTGGTTCACATGCCACATGAAAGCACAGTTGTTTTGTGTTGATATTAAACTAAGAATAGGGGCGGTGGTGTATTAACCATTAAGCTGACTAAGCATGTGCTTAGGGCACCAGGCCCAAAGGGGGCACCACAAAGTTGAGAATATGGCTTTGTTTGTACAATATGTACAAAGGAGGGGGGCATCAAGATTTGCCAGTGCTTAAGGCACCAGTGAGCCTTAATCCATCACTAAGTAGGGGCTTGGTTTGACCATAGGCTAATGTAAAGATATTCCCAAATGTGTTTTAGCATGTATGAAGCTAGGATTTCTTGCTTCTTGAAACAAGTCATAGTTCAGCAGTGAAATTTGTGCTAGCATTTACAGAGGAACAGAGCTATGTCCCATTCCAAAAATAACAGATTATAGTTGTATCATAAAAGACAGCCTTGTAGCAATTCTTAAAGTGAAAAGTGATCTTAAAAACAAAACAAAAAAATCTTCCTGTTTTTGCCCAGAAAGCTTGCTGATAAGCTTAATGGACTTTGAAACAACATTTCAACATAACTCAACTATGAGCATGTACTTGTTTACTGAATATTTCTATAGTATATTTTACTGCTTGGAAAACATTTATAGTCACTTAACTTTTTCCATGAAGAAGTGACTCATGCTTGTTCCTATCATTTGCCATTCAATATCCCTTCAGCATAATTTCTATCCTATGCCTAAAAGGTCAATTAAATTACAAAACATGATTTCACAAATTACTTCAAATCCTACATTCCTTGAAAATATTGTGATGCTCTTTATCATAAATTGAATGGAATAACGTGTACTTCTATTTAGAAATTTCTATGGTTTCTACAATTGGTTTGCAAGTAGCGTGACACTTTGCTAGGTTGTGAAACTCACAAATCTTATAATTTACTGTTAAAATTACTTCCTTATGTATGTTCCTTTTTTTGTATCCAAGTAATCATGAAGTAGTGGCACCTAGCCAACCTTAGCCGATCTCAAAAACTTAAGAATAGTCATAGTTGGTTGGTATTTGGTTGGGA